TCAGCATATCGGATATCGGCGAAAAGTCAATATCGGAGATCCCTGGTAATTTTCTTCTGTAGCACAACAATCAAACTTTACTTCACACCAGTTTGAACTATAGGTATCATCCTTCCACTGTCTGAGAGTTTTGCTCAAAAGCTGTCTTTATAGAAGAGTTGCAGACAGAAAGTGAAATATCAGAGTCTCAATTCTGCAGCAGCACACACAACATTATGAGCTAACACCAGAGCAGAGAAAAACAAAGACCCCTGGACGTCGTGGCGTGGCCTCTACTCAGCCTCGAGCCTTTACGTTACGTAGTCAAGGACAGAAACATTTAAGGAGATCTGTGGTTACTCCTCTAAGATGTCTGGAACAACCGTTCATGCCAAGTTCTTTCTGGTGCTCAAAGATGACGCTAATGCTGTTTTAAAGGCCCAGACCGCTCACACAAAATATTGATTTGATTAAGGCATCCATCTGCCTCGATATCTCAGGTAATAAAACGATCAGAGAGACAGGAGATGTGGCTGGAAATAGAAGAACAATGTATTTCCTAAAGCAACAACGAACAAAGATTGAAAAGAAAAAACAACCTCACCACCACATCCTAATACTGCTTCATCAGTGGACCTTAATAAACTCATCCTGATAATTACATTGTTTTTGCATTATTCAGTTACAGTCATTACAGTCGGTATTTCATTATTTTATTTTGGTACTCTACGATGTCCTGTAATTTCCTGTTTAAGACTAATTTCGTTGCTCTGCGTTACTGTGTTTTACAATGAGAATAAAGACATTTATTCTGTTCCATTCTATTCTCCTCTATTCTAATACTAAACTGTGGGTGGAGAATATGGCAGAGTATCATGTACTGTACTGTGTAATAGTCAAAATAGCTAAATACAACAGTAATGTAGGCGTAGCCACTCGTGCTCGCTGTGAAATCGTATTACTACCGTGTAGTAGTATTTTCATTTCTATAAACCTCCCATTCTTTCAAGCAGATTTGAATTGTCGAGAGCGCGCATTGTCAAAGTCGCGAACGCGCAACATCCCACTCCACCGCTCCTCACAAAGGCGCTTCGTCAGGAAATCCAGCTGTGACTGAAAGCTGCCGGTGTCTCCCTTTTTGCCGCACCTGATGTTCGAAAGCCCTGCGGATGATAAACACGTCAGCCGTCGGCGGCTGGGTGTAGGTGGACCTCGGCTGGACCACGGCTCAGCCACCCCACAGTCCACTCCTCTTCCTTCTTCTGCTGCGCGGAAGATGAAGAAGAGCGAACGCAGAGACAATACCGGAGCCAACATGTGACAAGCCCTCGGCACAGTCTGTGGCTGCTCACACACCAGACCAGAACTGACCCGCTCTGCACATGTGTTGCTGCCTACGATTAACCGATCTGACTGTAGTACTTGTTCGTAGGGGCTTCAGTCTGAGCCAACATGACCAGACTATTGTTGTCCAGCGCCGCTCCAGTGGAACGGGCCCGCAGTCGTTTTGGCACCGGTTTTACGCAGCGGTCCACATAGGTTCCCTCGACGTTTTTGTATCGCAGACCGACGCGGACAGAGAATTCTTCTCACATGTTTTCTCGTGATGCTTTGAGAAAAAATAAAAGGGCACCGGAGAAAACAGCGCTGTCAGTTCCTCCCAACAAGTGGAGACAACACCGTCATCATCAGCGAGGTGGGGGGGGACTCAAGTTCGGACCTGCCCAAGTCCAAAACGGCCCTTCTTTCTCTTACAAAAAAGAACCACCTTACATCCTAAAGTATCTTCACAGACTCGCAAAGCGGTAAGATTGTTTTTTTCTTCTTCGATTGTCACTGTTTTTAATGTAATTACAATATTTGATTCCAATGAGTCCAAGGTCTGCTCTGGTGACGGGGGGACGCAGCATGTGGCACCAGAACGCACCAGCGGTTACACCTCCAACATTCGGTGGTTTTCTCATTTTTGAGCCAAAATGAAACAAAAATAATTGAGGATTAACCTCTAAGAAACCAGATATGAAATGTTTTTTGAACAACCAAGAATAGATCAAATTTGGTTTGGAGAACCTCTTTAATTGATCAGGGCTGCAGACCTGTCAGGCTCATCTGCTGCAGCCCAAGTTCTGATCAAACAGACTGTCAGTGTCTGAAAATTCTTTTGTTTGTATGGAGGAACCTGGTGTAGATGGTCAGTGCGGTCATTCTATCTCTGGTTTGGTGAAATCCTGGAGGATCTGTTCCAAAGACTGATCCATG